ATGGGGTATGCAAAATGCCCATGCCCTGCCCTTGCCCCTCACTCCCAAGCCACAGCCCTGCCCAGCCCTGCTGGTGCCCCTCACTCCTGACCCACAGCCCCCTGCCCTTCACAGCCCTGCTTCTGCCCTTCACTCCCAGCTTGCAGCCCCCTGCTGCCTGCCCCACCCTCTTCCCCCACTGGAGGGGCAGGCAGCCCCAACAAGCACCCACCCCCCCTCATATGTGCATGCATGTGTGCCCATGCACACACACACACTCTCCCTAAGTCCTGGCCTTACCTGCCTGCAGCTGCCAGGGCTTGTGAGCAGATGCATGTGATGCCCCTCCCCTCCCCCCCCGTACCTCCTTGCTGGGGTAAGCCAGAAAGTGTTGGGAAAAACTTGGATGCTGAGTGGAGGCGGAGCAAAAACCCAGATATTTGTTGGTATTTTAAAAGACTGCCCAGAGATTGGGGGATCCAAAAAGAGGACATGTCTGACAAAACCAACACATAGTAACCCTAGATCAAATGTAGCATTTTTGGCAGCAAGGGGAAGGTGTCAGGGCTGCCTCTGGCCCTCCTGATGTTGCCCTGGTATTGCAGTACATCCAGGCCCAGTGCCAGCTCCTTGTGGAGAGAACACCCATCTATTTTTAAGGGTCCCTCAAAAAAATGGAGTTTTGCCCAACATGGGCCAGGTGTTCTATGGGCATGCTCAGCATGGACTGCATTCATTCAGCTTCATAGTTGGCTTCCATAATTGAGCACATGCTGCTTCGAGCAGCAATTTAATGATAGACAATGTATTTAACTGGGGGAAGGGGGCTTGCGATATGAAAATGTAAGACAAAGGGTTTTTTCCCCCCAGGCTGACTGAGGAGGAACAGGCAGGGCAGGAGGAGGGGGGTGTGTGGGGGCAGAGAAACACAAAACTTTTCTTATATTTGAATAAATATGGTAAACGTAGACATTTACCAAGATCCATTGTGTCCGCTAGAGATAGCTGGGCTCCCACACTTGGGTTACTGTGCAGGCAGAAAAGTGACTTACTTAGACCAGCTGGCCAGGCATTATTTTTGCCATGATAATCTACTCCCTGACAAGTAACAGACTGACATGATGAGCACATATTCAGTTCAGCACAAAACAATGGTGCTAATGGTGGTGTCCACCTCGTGGCCAAGAGCCTAGTACCAAGAAAACTTGCCCAGAGGCCCTTGCTATGTTGCATATATTATGCAATTGTTTAACTGCTTAAGTTTCCAATACATTTAGACCAGCCACATGTGCAAAGTAAGAACAGCCACAAGTGCAAAGTAATTATCACACAATTAGCTGGAGAATCATGCACGAAATTTAGACTAGCCAAATGGGCAAAGTAATTATCATGGAATAAAAATGACTATCCAGCTATAAAAACAGCCAACCAGCTATAAAGCTAGTGCTTGAAAATGTGTAACAACTTCCATAGCTGGCTTCTATGCAGATTTAATTTCAATGTGTAGTAGGACCTTGACAAACAGAAATCTGAGTTCAAGCTTTCTTCATTCTTAAGGGATTTAAATCACACTCTCTTACTTTCTAGGAGAGTGTCCTAACCAACACAGCATGGGCAGGCAGAGGACACTCCATCCTTCCAGTTGAAGGTGGTATATTGGCAACCAAGAGTACAAAATACAAAGGATCAGTAGGAGAGCAAGCAGGAGGGAATATATGTAATTATGACTATATCTCTAAGTGACTAATGTGAAATGAAAAACTGTGAAAGACATGCTCTGTCAAACAGAGTTTGTGCCCTTCATGCCTGAAGAAGGGTGTTCATGCCCAAAATCTTGTAAAGAACAATTTTTCCAACTATTTAGTTGGTCTAATAAAAGATAACACCTTCTCCCCAAAACCTTGTTTGCCTATGCTCTGTTAGTGACATTCCAGTGTTGACATACTGCTTTTCTGAAGGTAGAAAGAGTGGCAAAGGATACAATGCAGTTTAATCAGTTTTCAGAAAATTTAACTGATCTCTGCAGTTTCGGCTCATTTTGACTCTAATATTAACACTACACTCTAATATTAACACTACACTCCTTCAGCCTTTTCATTTACTCTACATTCTCATATCACAAATGTCTTTTTACTTCTCTTTGATCCACCAAACATTAAACAGGTTTCAGTAGTCTGTTTCAAATTATTATCATTTTGTGCATTCCTGCAGAAATAACTTCTGAATCAAAGTTCTAATAAATCGATGGAAAGGATCATAGAATTCAACTATACGCAAAACCATATAATTATATAGATAAGAACTATGTGGTAAGTCCCAAGAATATTAGATTTATTACGCTGTATTTTATATAAAGGTGCAATTTACAAAGGGTTAATATATGCTTAATAGATATTTTATGGACCTGATAAATGAGCAATGTATATATCAGAAATTGTTATATCAGTTGAAGATGCTAGAGATAATTATTAGCAACTAGTGCCCTTTTAGATACTAAAGCATTTATTTAAATATCTATTAACCTTATATTACCTCTTTATATACTTTTATATACAATTATACATTAAATCCTTAACGTAGAAAAGTGTGATCACTTATTCATTATTTCCCTTAATCCAATAATTTTCATAGTTATAGCTATCTTGAATGTATAAACAGAACTGCTACACACTTAAAAGTCATTTTCTAAGATGAATATGTGTTGAGTCCAGTAGACATTGTGTGTGGCAGGTATAAATTTGTTAAAATGTCAGCTCTTCAGAGATATAATCTCTTTCCCTTTCTGCCCTTATTCATTTACATTTATTTAATTTTAAAACTATGAAAGTGCTGAATTGACAACACTGGAATCCAGGATGACCAGCAACAATTTTTGTGCTCTCCAAATGCCCATTTTGAGAGCATATTCTAACTCCTTTTCCATTAAATACTTGGCATTGCTGTAAAAAGTCTCCTTAGAAGAACACCTTGCAATACCAGCTGCTAACTGTGATAAGACAACAAAGAATGGTGGGTCACCCTACTGCAAGGCACTGAGCTGAGATTTTATAACATGGGCTTTATCACAATGAACAAAAACATTTGGAAATGCACAGATTAATCATAACTAGTTAATGAGCTGATTACATAATTAATCATAACTAACTGATTTATTCTGTTTAGTTCAGACCACCACAACCAACATGAAGAGATGAGAGTAATTGAAGAGGTAGATGTTGTACAGTAGTTAAGGCTCTAAAAAAAGGCTAATGTTATAAAGGCTCTAAAAAATGGGAAAAAACAAATGGCAAATTATCAACTACTTGGGCAGTCAGTGATTAATTTCAATTCCATGCTACTACTCTGCACAATCTAAATATTTGCTGTCCAAAACTGCAGTAGTCCAAAAATGGACCTTACAGTTGGAAGGGATTAGAGACCATTTCCCTCAACCTTACTAAATGCCAAAATATCTAATGCATGAGGATACCTCACCATAGAACATTTTTAAAAGCTTTAAAATTTTAATGATTGACTTCAGATCTCCCCAGTGCTAAACATGGAAGGAAAGGCTGGTATTTTCAAAGGCACCAAACTGTCTTACCATCCTCTGAAAATCCAAGTGAAAATACACTAGAACTTAGCATAAAGGAAAGCTCAGCTATTAAACCAAATCTTTTAATAGAAGGTATTCTAGTCACTTCACACCAAGAAAGAACAAGACATATTTTTCCTATCTAGGCTATACGAGGGTTGTTCAAAAAGTATTGAGACTGATGCTGTAGGAAACAAAATATTTTATTTACAGCGGTTTGGGCTTAATCTCCTTTGAAGTATGCTCCTTCTGCAGCCACAGACTTTTCCCAACGTTTCTGCCACTGTTGGAAGCACCTCTGATACGCAATTTGTGGAATTGTTAAAAGCTGCCCAGTCGTATCTTTGTTGTATGGTTTTCACATCACAAAATCTTTTTCAAGGTTTTCTTTAGTTGAGGGAAGAGAAAAGAGTTGCATGGGGCCATACCAGGTGAATATGGAGGCTGCGGCACTTGCGGGATATGGTGTTTAGCTAAAAATTGCTTCACAAGCTGTGCTGAGGGGGCAGGAGTGTTGTCCTGGTGAAGCATCCAAGAGTCAGACACCCACTTTTCTGGTTGTTTTTCTGGTCATTTAATTCCCAAATTGCCAGTTAGAATTGAATGACATGAACCTACAGAAATTCCAACTTCTGCTATCTCTTGGACAGTCAATCGCCTATCATTTCCAACTGAACTGCAAACCACTGCTGCATTTTCATCATTTTGGGATGCTGAAGGGTGTTTGGAACACTCATCGCTTTTGACCAACAATCGCCCTTCTTTAAACTGATGATACCATTCAAAAACTGTTGCATGGCTCATAGTGTCATCACCAAATGCTATTTTAAGTAATTCAAATGTTTCACTTGCCTTTTTCCCTATCTTCATGAAAAATTTAATGCACACGCGTTGTTCTGGACATTCTGACATAACAGAATGCGACGCAAGACCCAAACGATCTTACTTCAACTGCTGGCCACAGAAACCTGGGGAAACGCCATGAGCTGCAAACCTGTCCAGAGGAGTCCCAACATGCCCAGACATGTTCAGCAGAGCCACGCCCTCCACCCAATACTTTGTACCACAAATACATGTTCAGTCTCGATAATTTTTTGAACAAACCTTGTATACATATGTACTTAAGCAGTATGAAAGTTTATTTTCCTGAAATTAATCTTCCATGGAAAATAATTACAACTATCACTACCAAAATGTGTTAAGAATGCAAGGAAGAAGTGCATCAATTCAGTACTTACAAAGTCTTGTCGTATGTCATTGAAGTCTTTGCCATACTTTTCCAAAGCTTCTTCAAATAAACTAGCTTCTGATGCTGACCATTCTTCCATTTCATCTCTACAAAGAACAGGCCCTCCAAGTGGTACTAGAACACTAATGGCACTGCTCAAGTCATAGTTGTGTTTATGCAAGGTATCCATTGCATGAAACTGAGAGAGAGAGAGAGAAAGTAAAAACAAACCACTGAATTAAAGTCATGAACCACAGAACACCTCTAATGAAAGTATTATATCTTATATTATGAAGCATGTCTTATTGCTAAATTTAAATGCATCCTGTTGTATATCATCTGACATAGATTATTAGAAATGCCCAAATTATTCCAATAATAGTTATTTTGGGGAAGAACAGTTCACGATAATAATAAAAAACTACAGTACTTAATTTTATTTAATTCAGGTAAATTGCCTACGCATTATTACCATACTTTTTATTTTGACAGATCTTCATCTGGTCCACTTAACCCAATGAAGACATGCCAACTGGCACCAGACGAGTATCTGGCAAGTTTGTTTTCACCAAGTAAGGATTATAAATAATGCTAAGCCAGATAACGCAAACTTCTACTGGTCCCAAACTATCAATCAATTGATAAGAAAGGAAACTGCCACTTGTATTATTGTTGTTGTTACCATAATGAGAAAAGAGTAAGAAGATTTTATCCAGGTATGAAATGCTTTCATGAAAAATTATACATGGCTGTGCTAAACAATTATACATAGCTAGGTGATGGGCACTTTTTCTTTGGTAGAAGGCAGAGAAAAACAGAAGCAACTAAAAAAGAAACTGCATTTTATGTTCAATTGCTTTGAAACAATCACTGAAGACTCCTATCACTAACAAGCAATGGGGAAGATAAAAAAATAAAGAGGTGCATTGTGGATCCACCTCAGAAAAGGCACGTAACAAATAAAATGAACGGTTAACACAAAGTCCTTTCTAAGGCTACCAGCAGCTGAGAGACCAACAGAACCAATGCTGTTCTCTTCAGCTGAACAGTCAAGTTGTCCCTTCATTCCTTTTACAGGTTTATGTAGCAAATGCTGCATCAGAAATGAAGTCTGAGATAGAAATAAGAAGACCATCATGCAGCCTATTTTCTTTATTGTAAAATTTAATGAAAAAATGGTCACTTTTGTCTCATTTATTTTTTAAAAACATGTTTTAGTAGAAAAGACACAAAATACTTAGAGAATTACATTCTATTCTGAATGTTAAGACCGCTGACAAGCTCCTGAACTAACATCCTTTTTTCTTTATTCAAGCTAAAACCTCAACTCTCTTGTTCGGGTAGGCTCCTGCATCATGGTAGGCAGGCAGGGAGACTGCAACAGCTCAGGGACTCCCAAGAGAAGGGAAAGAACATTTGGATCTGAAGCCAAGCTGGGATACACCATAAATGAAGGACTGTAGGATGGGAAGGGGAATTTTGAGCTCTCCCAAGCAGAAACAAGGGAAGAAATTCTCTGAAGAAAGACAACAACAAAATCTTACTACTATAATTTAATAATATCTTGAATAAAGACATTTTAGAGTCCTGGCCTGCAGAAGTCAAGTGTTTTTACTCCTAATTCACAAAATCAGAAGCCTCGTGTGTAAAATTCAAAGTCACATTTCTTTATGCTTCATTTTCTTTCAAAAAACATCTCATGCTATGATTTGTTCCCCCATAGACAAGATTTAAGAGCTAACTCCACTGAGAGAAGCAAGAAGAGAGATTCTGTCAATCTAGTTTAGGTTTCTTTAAGATGCCTATCATCATCAATCTATGCCCTACACAAGATACAGCAAGTCTAGAAAAAAAGCCTTTCAGGTTTCCTACATTCTTCCCTAAGGCTTTTATTCTTCAGCATTCAGTATTTCCAATAAGTGAAATAAAACTGCCTGTACTGCATAGCCAGAAAGCTAAACCTCAGTTCTGCAGCAATGGGCTGTGGAATTCCACTGTGCTTCAAAAACTCTTCCCTTTTTTATCCTTGAACCAGTAAATCTTACAGCGTTTGCTGTCTTTTGGCAGGGACAGGGACAGGAGGTACTTTTCAGAGGTCCCATTAAACTGAAAGATTCCACTGCAGGCCTTATTTTTCACTGGCCAGCCATATTAAAATGAGACAACAGGGGCTGTTGACCAATTTGGAGTCCTACAAAATGGCACAGTTTGCACAGCCCGAATGCAGAGATATCTTGGTGCTTCCAGTTATGACTCTTCATCTTCACCTAAGCATGCAATTGGGGAAGCTAAAAGACAACCCCTGGCTTGCCAGTCATCCAATGGAGCCCCTGCAGCTTGTCCTACATCCACAACCAACCCAAAATAATAACACTTATTTAACAAAAAGCTTGATTAAACCACCTCCTAATAGAACAACCAATTAGGAATATGGCAAACATAGCGCTTAGGCACTGCTATTTTCCCATCAATTACACTTAAAGTGTAATGCCAAACTGCTAACATGTTCAATACAGCGTATTGAGGATTATACACCCGCAGCACATCACTTCCCAAGTGCTAATCAAATACACTATTCACCACAACCTTTTTCTAATGAGATATCAACTTTTAAGTGCTACTCAAAACATGTCCTCCAATTAACATGGGAATATATGACAGGCGTGAATCCTATGAGAATGAGCATCTTTTCTTAATTTAGGGGAAAAACATCATGCATTGACAATAAGAAGGGTTTAAAAACTCTTAAAGAGCAGACAAGTGAAGGGAAAAATGAACAAATATGATAATTAAAGCTGTGGTGTCTCCTTGGCTGTCTCATAATAAGATGCAGCTTCCATTAAGTGTAATGGAAGTTAATAGATCATATGCAAGGCAAACTTTCATACTTCTCATACACTAAATGCATCACTTCAGCAACATTAATATAATATGTACCTTTACACAAAGATGGAAAAAAATACAGTATTAATCACTGAACTGTACATGAAGAAAGGTATATAATCTGTAGTATTTACAGGAAATTCTTGATCTATTTAATATTTGAAAGAAGAAAGTGTGCATAAATGTCAAAGTGAAGAACTACTCTAGTGCAAAACATTTACAGTGAATAGGAGTACATCATGGAAAGGAAAATCAGAATGCATCTTTTATCTTTAAAAGCTTAAATATTATTGAGGACATTATCTTCTATAATAAAGTATGCAATTACCTTTACCACATCACAGTTATCTAAAACAAGATAGTTTTCCATTTAATTGCTTTTAGTATCTATAAACTGGGCAAGGTGAAACATTTTTCTTATGATCAATACATTTGATATGAAACAAGTATTTACAGTAAAGCAGCCAGATGGTGACTAAGTTAAATGTGATTTTCACCAAATAACTATAAGTGTTCTCTTTTAATTCTCTTAATTTATTTTCAGTATACTGTTATTTATGATCCTCTTTATGTACACCTAAGGTAGTCTGCAAATACAGGGATATATCTAACTTTCTAACTTTCATTTATAAAATTTGATTCTGTTTATGTCTATCAGAATACAGTGGTATTTGGAGTTACATATGAGTATCTTATAAAAAATAAAAAAAATCAGTATGACCTGTTTAAAATGTATTATTTTTATAATAGTCAATTAGGCTTCTGGTAAGTATAACTAAAATTATTATTCTTGACAAATTATAAGACAGCAAATCCCATTATGCATGCTTTACAGAGTACATATTAGTTACTCTCTATTGTTAGTTCTGGCATTTACCAGAAGTTATATTTAACAAGAATGTTTTATTTATGATCTACTGTGGGCCAAAGGCAATCTCTTGAGCTTGTGGCTGCATGGTCCAAATCTAAGGGCCTCCCAGTGGAGTCTTAGGGAAAGTCTAAGGTTCTCAAAGCATATCTATACCGTTTCTGACTGCAGTAAGGTATGCCATGATGAATGCTTTATCCCCACCCATGCCCTCCCACCCATGCGCACACACTCTCATTCAACATTCTGTGCGGCAAATGGCACAAAAAAGTATTGTAACTAGTGTTCAGCGTGCACTCAGTGCACGCCCAGCACAGCTCTCTGTCTCTGGTGTCTACTAGTGCACATCTACGCTGCTGTAACAGTGGCTATATTACTTTTTTCTGGCATTTGGAACACGTGGTATAGGAGTGACTGGATGTGCCATTTTTCCATAGCAGCACTTAGCATAGTCAGAGGTAAGGCAAACATGCTCTTAGGTGCTACGGTGACACTGCAATCAATTAAGTCCTTTTACTTTACTAGGAAAATACATATTGAAATCATTTTAAAGGGCCATGAAAATAATCCCTGTGATAGCACAAGGCTGGGGTTGCCATGGAGATCGGCCCCAGCAACACTGGCAAGGTAAGCAGCAGGCCAGGGGGGCTGCTCCAGAGCTGCTGGGATCTTTTTGCCAGAGGCAGCTTGATCCAGAGCCAGGGTAGTCTCATGATCTGCAGGTTGCATGTTCCGTTGAGGGGCATGCAGGCTGCAGATCGCAGCTCTGCCCTAGCTCCTGATGAGACTGTCACTGTTGCAACAAGCCGGGGCAGAGCTGCAATGTGCAGCCTGCATACTCCGGGCAGGGACGTGCAGGCAGCGGACTGCAGTTCTGCCCCAGCTCCTTGCAACACTGACAGCCTGGTCAGGAGCCAGGGCACAGCAACAATCCGCTGCCTGCAGGCCCCTGCCCGGAGCATGCAGGCTACAGACAACAGCTCTTTCCTCCCTCCACACCAACCTTCCCTTGCTGCAAGATCCCAGTGGCTCTGGAGCAGCCCCCTACCCTGCCATGCACCCTGAGAGCACAGCTGGTGCCAGTCTCCATGGTAACACCAGCCTTGTGCTATCACAGCGCAGCTGCGGCTGGCGTCTCCATGGAGGCCGGCCCCAGCCATGCAGGCAGGGGCTGCTGAGAAATGGAGTCCACTGGCGGCCAGATTCGGCCCGTGGGCCAGACTTTGCCTGCCCTGGTGAAGGGGGTATGAGCAGTAATGTTTTTCAAGGAAAGTAGTACATGGCCAAAAAAGTTTGAAAACAACTACTCTAGTATATAGTAAAATGGGGGCACCTATGGAAGAGGTGCTTAGAACTGTGCTCTACTGTCATGTGACATGAAAGGCTCTGGAGAAAGCAGAAAGTGGGTAAATACAGAAGAGACAAGAGAATGGTGGCTTAGACAGGCTGGGAATAAGGAGCAGTACTGCCCAGTACTGTGAGAGACAGATGAGGAGCACTATGGGTATGGGATGGGGGTGGGATGGTGTGCGCCTTAGGAATGCCTTAAATGTTCAGAAGACAAATTCATCATTTGCTATTTTTTAGGGCAGTCAGGTGCTAAAAAAAACCAAAAAAAATATTTGTGGGGGAGGAGCTGTTATTCAGACCTTCTTGAAACAAATCTTTTTAACAGTATTTCTTATCTGGCAAGTGAAACATTCTTCTCAAATATGATGCTAAACTAGGAGGGAAAAATATAGTAAAAGTTGCAATCTCTTTTCATATCAAAATGTCCTGATGAGCTAACTAGCTTGACTGCTCTTGTATCTCAATGTTTTTCATTTCTTCAAGGTGATAAAAGCAGACAACTCAATTTTTACTTATTCTCATTCATATTTATCAGACAAAAACAGAGACTGGTTTGATTTTAAAAAATAACCTGGTGGCTCAAAATCTACAAATATCAACTGGTGACAAACTGACAATACACTTTTAGTGTCTAAACCCATTTCTCCTGAAGTCTATGGGTGCTGCTTAGCAACTTAAATGAAAACAGGAGCAGGTTCACAGGTAAATCTGTGCAAATATTGTGGATAATTACCTACTATAAACATAAATAGCTTGCAACCCCTTATCTGTAGGAAAGCAGACCTGACACAATATAGCCTACTGAATTCTCATTTGCCCAAAACTCCTATATTTGTATATAGTACGTTTCTATAATAAGCAACAATACCAATCTGGAAGGGGTTGCCAGCACTCTGGAGGACAGGATCGGACCTTGAAATGACTTTGACAAATTGGAGCAATGGTCCAAAATGAACAAAAGGAAATTCAATAAGGACAAAATGCTACATTCAAGAAGGAGAAATGAACAGTATAAACGTAAAGTGGGGAATAACTGGCTAGGCAGCAATGCAGCAGAAAAGGATTTCTGAAGTTTAGTTTGGATCACAAACTAAGATATAATTCATTGATGTGATATTGTGCACAGGGCACAAATGAATGGTAAGACCCAAGAGGTAGTTATTCCTCCCTATCCAGTGCTAGTGAGGCCTTAGAGTCTTACATCTAGCTTGGGACACTGTACTTTAAGGCACTGACAAACTGGAAAGAGTACAGAGAAAAACAATAAGAATAACAAGAGGCTTATAAAACATGACCTGTGAAGAAACAACAAAGGAAATGGGTTTGTTTAGTTTAGACAAAGGAAGACTGAGAATGGACATAATTTAGTTTTTAACTACATGGAAGGTTATTAGAAAGGAGATAATAGTTAACTGTTTTCCATGGCCACTCAAGGAAGGACAAGAAGAAATCAACTTAACTTGCACAGCAAAGAGGAGTCGAGTTGGACATCGGAAGAAACTGTCTAACAATTAAGGAGGGAAAATACTACAACAGTCTACCCTGTTCTTGTGGGATGAAGTGGATCGTGAAACCTGCTTCATTTAAGTTTGTTTTTTAAAAGTTAAAAAATCATATATTGGAGATGTTTTAAGTTTATACTCAGTGATACCTCACAGTGCAGTGGGAAGGACTAAAGGATCTTGTATGGTCCTCCCCAGCTCTACATTTCTAGAATTCTTAATTCTAGCATTTCTACCAAACCTCTCACCAGAGTGATGTCTCGAGAAGCAGCAGCTGCACTCATGTGTAAACTTGGTTGCCTGACAGAACTACTGCAGTCCAAAGCCCGAGCAAACGTGCCAACCGCGCTAGGGGGGAAAAAAAAGACAAATAAAAAAAATTAATATTATTCTCTTTCATTACCGGTTTATCCTTCCATCAGTCAAAATGTATTTAATAATTAAAACCACAAAGTAGGTTAAGATTACAAATTTAAACAATGCAAAACAATTCGTAAATGACAACATGATAAAAAGTCACAATTGCTATTTTAAAAAACAGCACTCTAAGTGAAACAACAGGTCACCACTGAAAAAAATAACTTAGTTTTCATACTATTTAAGTAATCAGATATTAATATTACATGTGGCCCAGCATACTAATTCCTTCTTTACTCTGAGTTAAAAGGTTCTGCTCAGTTTGGATTTTGTCAATACTGTGTTTTTTAAATGAAGGACTAAACGGTGACTGACAAAACAAGTCAATATTCAGAGCACACATGCCAGAAGTTGTTCAGGCCCTGCTCTAGACTCATTCCAAAGAACAACCCACCTGGCAACAGGTACCTTAAGCATTTTATATATTAACTGAAAAAGACATATATAGAGAGCACCAGCTTTCATAAACCCAGGTTCACTTTATGAGATTGTTAGGTTACTGTGTTTTTCAGGCTGAGAAGTCAAAGGCAGCCGGATATGATGCTAACCACAAGGCTCTCTTGTGTGCCTTAATGACATGAGAACAGTTCCACTAGACTCAATGGAATTAGTCACATGGAGTAAAGACAAGTTTTCTGAGTAAATCTTTGCAGGATGAGGGCTCCAAGTCAAATTTATGAATTACTTTGAGGGAATTTCTCAAGGGAAACGTTGGGACTAATCATATCTAACAGGTATGACACTTACAGAGGGCATGCTATGTATGTATAAGTGTTATTTCCATTCTTGATATAGATCATGACTCAATTACATAGTGACAAAATACATTTCAAGAGCTAATACAATGCATTAAGTTAAACCACTAACCAGTCAGGAACAAATTAATACAACTTAGCTATTATATAGCATTTGTACCACACATGTCATATTATATTACAAAGCAGGAGAAGTATAAAACTATTAATAAATAAAACATTTGTTAACACAGAATTAGGATTGCTTTTCATACTTCAAAAATGTTAAATGTTAATCCTGCTGTAAAGCTTTAACTCTGCCTTCTGGTACTTGCAAGAACCACTGAGAATTTACCTCAAGTACTGTATTTGCTCCCATACAACACCCCCCGCCATTGTTTTTGAAAGGCAGAAAAAAGAGAAAAAAGATTTTCCAAAATTCTAACTGCAAAGAGCGGAGACAGAGCCTAATCTTCAGATGACTCATCCTCCCTTTCCTGCTTAGCTAAAGCTCAAACCCCAGTACTGAAGACTGGTTTCCATGGGTATATCTATGATTTTGAAAAGTGCTATAAGAGTCTCCAAGGCTGTGAAATAGGAGGAGAGACAAGGGGCAGACAGTAAAACCGTCCTAAAAGGGTTAGCTTGATTCATGGAACATCAAAAGCATTAACACCTCTGGAATGAACAACTATGGAGCAAGAATCAAAGCAGGGTGTTCCACTCCAGGCAGAAAATCAGCTTCCCCACTTAATACATGCACCCAGGTTTGATTTTGGGGGGAAAGTTGCATAACGTATGTGAGAAAATACAGTATATTTCAGTCACTGGTGCGCTAAAATAAGCAGCCACAAGAAATAAAAGCATCATCTTTTTATGCAGTATGTACTGGTTGGGGCATCAGTCATACAGGGCAGAATTAAGGTTATGGGATGGGATTAAGTTGTTTTGCCCAGTTTTTAGAGGTTAAGTGATAAATATGTTATTTGAACCGAGTATTCTGTAGTATTTTGACATCACATTAGTCAATAGTTTTCTGGTGCCAACCTCCGAACAGACTGACACTGCTGTGAGTTGCAGCTCTTAGCTTTTCTTTGACCACACCATGTTTCATTATTCATGGAATCAGTGAGCAGCATTTGGTAAGATTATACAACTCCAACAGTGCTGTTTCCTAAGGCATTTTCCCTCTATTAATGCTATTTTCCACAACAACAGCATTAAAGTAAAATCTAACCATGCATGAATTTTTTGCAGCATGTTGAAATATTAGCTTTGGAATTAATAACTTGCCATATTTATTCATAATACTAATAGTCAAGTAACATATACAGGAGAAAAACCTATGTCTTTTTAAAAGTAGCCCTGTATGAAATACTTAGAGATCTGGAGAATTGTGTTGTGTATAACACTCTCTCTCTCCATCAATGCCTGTCACTCTTTCTGTACTTGGTTCTAAATAGAGATGCCCACAGGGACATTTAGGCTAGGGACCGAAGTTACACATAACGCAATGTAAGTGATCAGAAACTGGTTTAAACCTGTAACAGAACAGACATTCAGTGCACATAAACCAGTTTCAAAATGGCCAAAACCAGTTTGAGATAAACTTGGTTGAATGTAGTATCAGACTTAAGTGATTGAGCTCAAACCGGTTTACAGAACTTTGTCCCAGAGCCCTTCCTGGTTTAAGTTAAACCAGAGTCCCCCAGCATCCCAGCATGCTCTGCTGCCCTGGGCAGAGCTGTGCTCTCTGCGGAGCAGGACTAGCTCCGTGCCTCTACTCTGTAGCCAGAGCAGGGGTGGTGGCGTGGCCAGATACTGGTCCCAGCCCCCAAGACAAGGGAGGCAGGGGGGAGGTTTATTCCCCTCACCTTCCCCTGTCCTACCAGCATGGGCCTGCCAGGCATTTCTCCACTCACTGCTCCAGGGGCAGAAGTGTGGCCAGCACCAGCAGTAGTTTCAAGTGAACTGGCCAGGGAAAGTTTTAATTTGTCCCCACGGTCCCACTGGCATGGACCAGAATCAGGGTCTGCCTGGTCCTCCCCACTCGCTGCTACAGTGGAGGCGTGGCCAGAGGCCAGCCAGCATGGCCCCTAAGGCAGAGGGTTTCCCTGTGCAGCATGAGCGGCAGGATAAACTCCTTCCCTGCCCCCTCCACCAGACATCAGAGAGAGGGGAAAAATAACCTCTCCTAAGGGGGCCATGATGACCAGCCTCTGGCCAAGACCCCACCCCTGGAACAACAAGGGGGGAGGGACCCTGGTGGCGGTGGTAGCCACTGTCATGGTTTCCCACAGAGCACAAGGCTCTTCCTGGTCAGGGGGCTGCACTGTGGGTGGGAGGGGGCTATGCCGACTGGCCTCTGCCTCAGGGGGCCATGCTGACTGGCCTCTGGCTGTACCACTGCCACTGAAACAGCGAGGGGGAAGCACCAGGTGGACTCCAGCTCGGGTCTGTGCCAGTGGTACAATTACTGGGAAATTAAACCCCCACCCTGGCCAATTCACTTGAGGCTACTGCCGGGGCTTGCCATGCTGCTCCCCCCTCAGTACAGCTTCCCTGTAGCTCAGGGCACACTCTAGTGCCCCCTGGATTCTGGCCTGAGCCACTACAGGCATGTGCCTCCATTTCCTGAACGTCTGTTCACTTGCAAAGTGGTCCACTCCTGCAAAGATTGAATCAATTCAGGCTCTGGCTTTTAGAGTATCTGTCCCTAGCCTTAAGGGTTTTAATGTTGACAACAGGCTGGTGTATATGGCCTGCAGCACCCAGGTAAGATCAAAATATACTACAGGGAAAGGCTGGCTTAATCCCAGATTTTGAAGTTCAGCAAAACTTCTGGTGTCTTGCTGGGCTACAACTTAGGGGTTTTCAATATAGAGGCTTAGCCAGTTTGGGCTTAAGTGTGGTTCTAAGGGCTAACATTAACTAGCATTCTCCAAGCATTCTTAAGGAATGCTACAGAAGACAAGAAACAGACCAAGATAATCTGGTGCCAAAACCTAAGAATTTGGCATGTACTGGCTTTTAAAAAGATTATGTTGTTATATAAAACTAGCAAACCTAACAAACCTTTAAAATAACTGTGGCTAGAAAGAAGTTACTCTAAAAAAAGTTCTCTTCCTAATCACTGATCACTAGTGCATGAAAAACTAGCTTCTTAGAGAATCCCTAGCACTACCAAGTCACGAGATATTTGATTATAAAATACAGGCAACATCTAAATGAATTATCTGTTACTGAATATTTACTTCGAATTACTACTTATTATTTCACAAGACTGCAAGAAATAAAGCCAATTTAAATTAGGTTAAAAAATCTGTTCAGTTCAAATTATTATTACATTTATTACTCTTCTTACTACATCTCTAGTACACTTTAAATGAAGACACCATTTTGCTAGGCACTACAGAAACAGGATCAGCAATGAAACAATGATCCAGGCTGAGGGCCATAGGTTGCCCTCTAATAGATAACAGATGGAGAAAGACAAATAGGGAAGTACAAGGAAATAACAAGACAATATCAAGCAGTATGACAGTCTGGTTGTCAACTGTTGTGTCAACATACAAGCTGCCTAATCTTTGTCAAGTTTCAGGTTTTTTTGGCAGGTATCATAGAAAAAGAGTAATAAGGAAGAATTTGAAGCAAACATGAGTAACTCATGCAGCACTGAGGAAAGCATGAAGATAGCTGCTTGAAAATTTAGCAGCTGGATGATGGATATTAGCTTTAGGCTGTTGACAGACGTGAAAAACAAACAAACAAACTGCACTGTATCAGAAGCAGCATCACGTTAGTTTAGCCTGGCTGTGCAACATCTGTACAGACTGCATGCTTCAGCATGGCTTTTTGGTACTTTTATCTAACAGTTGAGTCAATCAGCTATTACATAAAAGCGCCAAAAAAGCCACACTGAAATGCCCAATCTATACAGATGTTGGGTGAGCCGAGTTAAATTAACACAATCACTCTTTTGGGCAGGCGCTGGGCTTGGTGCAGGGCTGCGTGGAGTTTAAAATAAAGTGTCATCTTATTTTGGTTTTTTTATGTCTGTAAGCAGCCTCACTGGCTAACTGGAGGCAAGAGATGATACCCCAATCCTGAATAAGAAGACAGATATGGGGGAAACTAATCATAAAGGACCTTCAAAGTGACAACAAGAAGCTTCTGTTTGATGCAGTACAGAAGGAGATGACAGAGTAATCAAAAAGGAACAAACCTGGAGAAAGATCTTTGCAGTAAAATATAAATATATATGAGCAGGAAAAGACTGTATTTGTTAAGGCTAGAGAAGAGGAAATTGCAGTAATCAAGGAGTTAAATGACAGGAGTCTGGATGAGAGTTGTAGTTGTGTATGTAAGTAAAGGCTGCATCTTAGAGTGTTTTACAGAAAGAACTGGCAAGATCTAGACACAGTCTGTTGTAGACACCTAAAGGGAAATTCAGGCTGAAGATAATGTCCAGGTTACGGGCTCAGAGGACAGGTTAACTGGTAATGTCACCCATAGTGATCAAGAATAGGTAGGGAAAACTGATTTGGGTGTGGAGGAAAATAAAAGCCCTGTTTTAGCCACACTCAGTATGTGCTGATCAATACATAAGACCATTAAACCAAGTACTTTGGTTTAAATGGAAGATGACAAACCTGGAGCTGAGGCAGAGTTGTGAGCTATCAGCATTGGGACGGCAGTGGAATTTGGGTTTGTAGTTGAGAGTCCCCAGATATAAGGTATAACAAGAAAAAGAGACTAAGGCAGGGGTGGGCAAAATATGGTCTGAGGGCGGGTGCCTAACAATTCACGATTTCTTCTGGTCCACGGGCAGGTGCCTACCAATTCACTGAATCTGGCCCGGCCCCAGGCTGCCCCTACTATGCTGGCATAAGGCTGAGCCCCACTCATTCCTGTGGGGGCAGTGCACACTGCACTCCCACCCTCACTCATGGGACAGCCCTGACCCTGGCCCCACAGGTAGGTAAGTGGCAGCAGCAGTGGGCAGGAGCAAAGCGGCAGCTTAGCAGGTGTGTGGGGCCCACACTCGTACCCTGGGGCCACGGCTGGCAGCGACACAGGGTGGGGCAGCAGGAACACAGAGCCCAGAGCCTGGGGCAGGAGAAACATGGAGCCTGGGCCAGCAGGGGCACAGGGTCCATGTGGCTCCATTGCACAGAGCTTGCATGCAGTTCCTAGGTTCTCCACCTCTGGGCGAGCCGCACACCTCTGGGGTGAGCTGGCACATGATGGAGCTGGCAGCTCGACCCCAGCCACTGCTATGCATAGGTCATGGGGAATAGTGGAGATCTCCGTGCTATGGAGCCAGGCCAGCTCTGCCCCTCCCCCTGCTGCCCTTGCCAAGCCCTATGATCTGCTGGTTTCATTGTGCAGGACTCTACCTCATAGCTCAGGGCTCAGGCACATGAGCACTGTGCAATGGAGCCAGTGGCTCAGCCACATGTAGTCCTGGGGCTTGTCGCACTGCCACGGGGCTCTGCCTGCTGCTGCTGTTGGTGGAAGGAGCTGTGCCCAATGGGGAAGGC